CGGCAGGGCTTCGCTTTCCGGGTCCTTCAGCGTTCCGTAAGAGCAAGGTGCCTTCTGGCCCACCTGCCGTCCCGTCCGGAACAGTGCGGCCTTCGCTGCCACCTTTGGTGCAGTGTGAAGGGTGCTGCATTCGTCTGTGCCAAAGTGTTACTTGGGCACCTCGTTGGGCTGACCTGGCGCACGGAAGTGCCGCTGGCACACCGCACCACGCCACTGTTGTGTGCACAGGTCTGTCTTGGGGAGATCCAGGAGCCATCGCTGTCTCACAGAAGAGGTTTGGACTGTGGAGTATCTCATCTGTGATGTTACAACGGCGTGTGATTTGGGTGCTGATTTTCCTGAGCAGTGGAGGAGATTACCTGCGAGTCTTGTCCTGTGTTCATGTTTTGCTCTTTCAGGTCCATAGCTTACAAGATGAATCCATTTCCATCCATACCACTTCCCTCTGGCTACAGCTGGAGTTCACAGAAAACAGACGCATGTCAAGTAGGATGGAGAAGGCAAAGGAACAAGGAATGCTTCTCTCACTGAGCCTGAAATATGTGTTAAACTAGCTCAGGAAAACATGTTACTTATTAAAGTAGTAATGCTGGAAAGGGAAAGCTTCCTTCTTTTCTCTCACTTTCTTGCAAGAGTGATTTCAGCCTGAAAGGCTTTCGTAGTTCCCTGGACAAACAGTCTGCCTTGCACTGGAAAACAGCTTTGTCAGTGCAAAAAGCCCAGGCTCTTCCTCTGCCTGTGTTTTCTAAAACATGGCTGTTGCTTTGTTCCCTCCGCTCAAAAACTCGAGCCCAGAATTACGGAGGGAGTGCTGGAGACACCCGGAAATGCAGACGTGGGAGTGAGTAATTGGTGAACCCCTGTGTAACTTTTGAGAGGAAAGTTATTCGCATGCCTGAGAAGCAGAGACTAGTGGAAGGAAAGCAGCTGCTGGGAAACTTAAAGTGAGATTAAAAGAATTTAATCTTTTTACCCGTGCAATTAAGTGGCCCGTGGATGTAGAAGCCGTTTTTCAGCATCGTGCTGCACTGTCAAAACAAGTGGAGTTCACAGCTGTCGCCTCTCGTGGAGACCAAAACTGTCACCAGGAATAAGAGCATGTACACCTCGGCCAAGAACCATTCTTGATCTGGAGACACCTGGTAGTGCCTCGGTGTTGCTGCTGTCGTCTTTCTGACGTATGTAATGCTGTCGTATTTTCTACCTCCTGTGTTACAGTTGAAGTGTCGGACTACAGCTACCTGACCTTCAGACGAAATAACTCCACATCGTGTGGCGTTGGCAGTCAGTGTGATCAGGAATATTCTCTCTGTCATCGTTTACACGTTTAAGCCAGACCTGCCTTTCTCCCCTACTCCTTTGGCTTTAGTTTCTGTGGTCTTCTGGACTTGTAAATAATCTGAGGGACTGTTCTGTTTCATGCGTCTACGTTTGGCTGTGGAATGGGCCATTTACTTTGTCTGTCACTTGTTTCTTCTTTTCTCAGCCCAAACACAGCAGTGCTAGTTATTTTATGGTGTCTGCAGCTCACAGCAGTTCCTTCTTGCTCTAATGGCCGTTACTGCTTTGGGGCAATAAACTCGTGATTAGTTACGGAATTGTCATCCTGTCGTACTGACTATTACTCTTCATTTCAGCACCTGATCATTAATATCAGATCTCATCATTCCTGAAGTGTTCTTGACATCTCTTCAAGCCAGCCCATCCGCTGCCAACAGTTTCAGTCTTTGTTTTCAAAATCCTTTGTATACAGCACCGTATTGACCCCCGTGCGAAGGAGGCAATGGATATAGAGATCATTGTTTCAGGAAGGAGCGCTCAGGACTAGAGGGAGTAAGGGTAGACCTCACCCTTATCCTTCTCCTGAAACTGGGGTGTGTGCATGGAAGGATTTATCTGGGAGGGTTTTGTACTTGGTCCCGTTCGAGCAAGGCCCAACAAAGGGGCATTGACACTTTTCTGAGTGACGAAGCTATTCCCCAATATGATCATCCTCAAAATGGAGGCTGTCCGAATCCTTCCTGTCCCCTTCTCCTTTCATTTTCCCGTAAACTCCTCCCTTTTAGTGCGCACGGTCACTGGGCTCTGCCTGCAGCCAGACAAAGTGGTCTCCAGTGGGGTTATCTTGCTGCCAATAATCAGACGCTCGGGGGTGGCAAATTGCAGCTCACAGTGTCGAGCTGGACTGGAGGCATGCTCTTTTCACCGATCCTGGTAGAGGAAGGAGCAAGAAGTTCACAGCTTCTTCACAGGTCTTTTACCTTCTTCCCTCTCGGTCCTTCTCCTACATGGCAATATCTTCTGCTGCCTTCCAGGCCAACCATATCTTAGTGGTAACAATTCCTAGAAAACAGCTGCTTCTCCAGTTGTTACGGAATTTGCAATATACGTGTGAATACCTGAAGGCACTCACTTGGAACCCAAAGTCTGGGTGGCTTTTTTGGTGTATACTTTGCTCTGTTGTTAGAGGATGAATTTTGATGTGAAGCTGTACTACGTTTTCAAGTCGTTAAGAGCCTCATTCCAAAGCATTGTAGATGTCCTGGCTCCCACTGAGTGAGAGAGGAGTGATGATGCACGGCTGAGATTATTAATGGCTGAGGATCGTAAAAAGATGTCGTTGGTGATCGGGGGACTGACACTGTGATTTTCTTCCGCAGTCGGATGCTCTCAGTCACCCAAAGGCATTGGATAATTACCTGCTTGCTCCCCACCTGTGCTGAACTCGATGAGCAGCGTTTTCGTGCACAGCAGCCCAAGGAGCAGCACATGTTCTGGGTTGTGTTCCGGGCCTCAGCCCATACTGCTGCCTGAGCTTCTGACCGAGCACTGAATGCCAGAAAGCGGGTGCCTGCTCTTGGTGTCGACCTGTCTTGCCCTTTCCCACCTTGCCTGTGCCACTCACAGTCCTACCAGACTCCTTCGCTGCCTGCTCAGCTCTGAATTTCTTTGCTCACCCCTCAGAGCCTTCTGGACGCGGGGAGGCATTAGGGAGAAGCCAGTGTGTTGTGGCTGGCGGCCTCCGATTGCGTCTCCAAGGAGGGGTCAGTTCATAAAGATGCCGTGTTCAAACGAGCATGATGTGTGTGTGTAGGGTAAGGGCTTAGGGTCAAAGTCCTTGTATGTGAAAGTGTAAGCCGTAAGGATCTGAGGTCTTAAACTGATGAGAGGATAAATAATTAGTGGAGTGCTGAAAATAAAAGAGATAAAATGGAAACACCGCCGTACACAGTGAGGGACTGAGGGGAAGGTGATGAATCCGGAGGAGAGGAGCCCTGGAAGAGGTGCAGAATACACTTGACCAGAGCTCCTTTTGCACAGCACAGTTTCTAATGCAACCGTGTGTGTTTTTTCATAACTTTTTGCATTTGCTGATCGGGTTAAGTGGCTGGAGGCGTGTTACGTTTTACAAAGAGATGTCTCAGCTGTATTTTTCTCTTTTCTCAAAGGCCTCGGTCGGCAGGCAGAGTCCGAGGGTGGTGCCATACCCAGCCCACAGTCTATGTCCTGGAGAGCCTGGCCTTCAGAGTGCAGCAGGTAGCTACAGTTCAAGTTTGCTTCTGTTTGTTGGTCTGTTTTCCAGAGGAAACAAGGCTCCTGTGATCAGCCTGTCTGTTCCCTTTTCTTTCCAACATCGTCCAAACCTGTTGGTTGATTCTCATCCCATTTGACACAGGAGGCAAGTCTTAAAGATGCCAAAGCTCCTGCAAGTGGCTCCATTTGCCTGTTCTTGCAGTAAGGGGTAATTATCCTAAAAAAAATGTCTCGGGCAAAAGAAGGGCTGCAGTGCGCTTTCACATGGTATGACATTAGCAAAGCCTGTCAGGAGAGACACATAAATACTATGAAAACCTTCAGATTCAGCTTTCGGTCAGGTGGGGGACCTGAATGTGCAGAGGACCAGGCTTTGCAGCTCACGGAGTGACTTTCAGTTGTGTTCCCAGCCCCTCTCACTCCTTTCTGCCCCATCTCTTCCTCTGGCTTACCGTGGCTGCACACAAGGGAGGTCGTGAGCTTCGTTGCCTCTGAAGGTTTGGCCCGCGGTGGTGCAAGTGTCCAACTTCTTCTAATCCCTGCAGTTGTGTCAATGGGCTCAGCTGATCATCGACTGAACCTGGCGGAGATCCTTTCCCAGAACTATGGCGTACGGGAGGAAAGGGAAGAAGATGATACTCAGGAGAAGCAGAAATCATTAGAAGAGCTGGAGAAGGGTTTCAGTGCCCCTCAGGTAAAGGCAGGAAGGGAGGGGAAGGGAAGTTACCTGCTGGGTTTTCTTGTTCGCTTTACAGTTCTGGTATCAAAGATCTTTGTGTGAAACTCTGACTTGCTTGTTCAGCTGGCCGTGTGCCGTGTTCTGGTCCACCCATCAACGAGTCTTAGGTTTGCATTTGGATAGGAAGGAATGGTTTTGACAACAAGTGACAGCAGTAGATTTTGGAGTCTTCCTTTGCCAAGCAGCCACTCTGATGAAGTGGCCTTCACTCACCTCGCTGAGGAGCCATCACTCATTGGTGTGTGTCTGTTTCCCAGTGGAGGAACCACAAAGATGAGATGATGTGGTCCTACAGAGGCCTTGGTGGAACACAAAGCATGTTCTTGGTGACAGAGACTGTCTCTTCAGGTCAGGCACAAGACTAACATAGTGATTTGCTCCTTCCCTTCCTCGATATAAATAGGTTCTGCTGTCTGGCATCTCTTCACCAGCGTGAAATCTAGTATAAAAAATAAGTATATTTTTAAATTGCCCTTGACTGTATTGCTTTGGTGTGAAAGTTCCTAGCTTCTCTGTACCTTTGAGAAGAAAAGGCTATGGTGGGTCCTGACAGACTGTGCCTCCTTCTGTACGCAGCATTGCCCCAGGCAGTTCAGAGCCCCCAGAAGAGCAGAGCTGCCTTGACTGCCTCTGCATATCTCTGTGTTCACTACAGCTGGTGTTGTACTCGGTGATTGTTCCATTCCTGATGAAGCTTTGTCCTCCTCTTGCTCAGAGCAGTGAAATGCCATTTGAGGAGCTGCTTGCACTTTATGGCTATGAGGCATCTGATCCCATCTCGGAGCAGGACAGTGAGAGCAATGATATTACTCCAAATCTCCCAGATATGACTCTGGATAAGGTAAGAGCAGCTGCCTGCGTCTATGTGTTCTGTGAGCCTGTGCTGTCTTGGAGCTGGAAACATCTAGTAGCTCTTTGCAGGTGGGGTTTGACTAATGCTGGGGGAAGGGACCTGCCTAATTCTCATGTTCCAGTGAGAAACACCAGGTGCAGAAATTGAATTTAAAGAGTTTAGAGGTCACTGGAGAAAGGATAACTGTTTTTAAAAAGAACACTGTAAAAACTCTGTGGAATTTGGGTTACAAATCTTTACACATAGATGTGGACCTGTGGAGAGTCAGGGGAGGTTTGTATCTTCCCAGCTGAAGCCATGGCGCCTCCTGTTCTAGCTGAAGTCTGTAGAAAGCTTTTTTTTTTTTTTTCCCCAGGATCTTTGAGATATTTGCTCTGGATGGGGCTCTACAGAAAGGGCCACTTGCTCGTCCTCTCTCAGGCTTCCACAGGAAGCCACTCGTGGCACTCATAGAAGTGCTTCTAGGGAAGATAATGTAGGGGTGCGGGGGAGTGTGAGAGGGACGCTGTCTTTGGAGAAGCTATGGGAGGGTGAGGAGATCTGTGGATGTGGCCGCCTTTGGCCAGAAATGCTTTACTTTAGGCCTCACTGCCCCCATATTTTTTTTAATTGAAAAATATTTTTCACTTTCTTGTTGTTGTTAAAAGGAACAAATAGCGAAGGATTTGCTTTCAGGGGAAGAAGAGGAGGAGACACAGTCCTCAGCTGATGATCTGACTCCGTCCGTCACGTCCCATGATGCATCAGACCTATTTCCAAACCAGCCTGGCTGTATGTGTTGCTAATTTGGAAGTAATTGGTTTTCACTTAGATGTGATGTGCAGAACAGGGCAAGAATGATTTTCTTTATTTCATCACTAAGTTTCTTGACATCGGTTTTTCCACTTTCCTTCTGGGGGCTGCAAATAAACCTGAGTGCCAAGGGTGTTACTGAGCATCGGACATGGTAGAGCACAGATGAGCAGTGGGACAAGGGGAGAATTGTCTTTAGTTGCAACTCATAACATTGAAAAAGTGAGAACTGTTTTGCTACCTACTGTAATTGCAGCCTGTAAGATCAGTACCTGATCTGACTTCTCTAGAAGTGAATAAATCCAGTAGTACTGGTGGTGTGATATAGTGTGGCAGTTCCTAAGCACCAGGATACGCAGGAAGCCAAAGGCATGAGGAGAGACTCAGCATAAACTGATGTTGTTCCTCTGCTAGCCTGCAAAATGAAGGAGCCCGAGCTCCCCGGGTTGGCACCACCCATGTGGCAAGCATGCAAATTCTTTTATTTAAAAGGAGAAAATTAAAATAGGGGTACGTTGTCACTGAGGTGCATGCTGAAAGTAGCTTTAGGACAGAAAATAAAGGGAAGAAGAGGGAACCTAGAGCAATAGGAAAAAACCCCACATTTCATAACTACAGATCTTTTCCTTTCCTACAAAGCAAACAACTTCCTTGCTGATGAGGACAAAGAGCCCTGTTCATCTCCATGTGCTTCCTCCATGGCTGAGGATTCGGAGGAGGATTCCATCCCATCCAACGAGTGTAAGAAGGTAACCGATCCGAGCGCGTTGGGAAGGGAAGCCAGTACAGTGCGCCCGGGCCTGAGGGAAGCACGGCACCAAAGCGCTGTGGTACTTCCTCAAGAAATTTTCTTCCTTTTCTTTCTTTTGCTCAGTGCCTTGTGTTTTGTGGAATGCAGCGGCAGATATGGGTTGCAAGATGCTTTTTAATACAATCCTGAAATCTGTATCTGACATTATCTTCTGCTTCAGATATGGAGAATTCTGTGGTGCCTTGGTAAATTAAAACTGCAGCCTGTAGCCCCTATAAAGGTGAAATGCTGAGCAATATTCCCAGCAGGATTTACTGAGAAGGAACCATCACACGAAAGAGAGGAACAGACTTCCAAATTCATCCTGGTTGTGAAGGTTGCAGGAGAGCTGCTGCATTTCTTTATCTCCAGTCTTAGCTGTTTGCCATATATCTTTAACATTAAAACTATGTTAATGCATAAGACCCTCAAAGTGGTGTCTGGTTGGTAGTAAATCTTTTTACTACCCTATAAAATAGCCAGGGTTCCCTCGCAGTAATAGCAGCAGTGGGGACTTCCAGTGTATAAATGGGCCTCGTGGTGCCGTCATCCCTAAATCATGAAGTACACCGCAGTGCCTGCGTGGAGCATTTTCCGTTTCAATTCACCCGCTTCTCTGTGGTGATGTTTCAGGAGATCATGGTTGGACCTCAGTACCAAGCCACTGTTCCCGTCCTCCACTTAAACCGGCACGGTGAGAAAGGTAAGGCGACCTGCCTTGTGTATCCCGTTTGGATGGAGAGCTGCTGGCCTGGGCATCTGGTGGGGCCCTGGTTCACCATTTCTGCTCTGTGTCTCTGGGCTCGACACCTCTCAGTGTTGACAAGGCAATTTACAGCTCCACTTGAGCTAGCTTGAACTGCCGGTGTGAACGGGGCTGGGGGTACAGCTGCAGAAGCTACGCAGCTCAGTGAGAACCGGGTTGGTGGGACAGGTTCGGAGGAGGGGGTCTCAGCTGTAGCCAAAGAGGAGGAGTACCCTTCTGGAGATAGTCTGATTTATTTTTCTCTGACGTCTTCCTTAAGTAGGCAGAGTTACTTTCATTCAGTGCTCCCTGGAGCTGCTGAGTTCCAGTTTGATAGGATGTCTGCAGAGCAGACGGAGGCGCCTCGATGTGCAGACTGCGTTTGACGAGCGCAGTGCTAGCACCAGCTGCTTGAGTTTCTGAACAAGGTAGCTACCAAAAAGCCACCTCTTTAGAACTTCTTCCCTAGTTCTTTTATCCTAGCAGACACTGAGCAAATTAGTTAAAGGAGAAAAAAAGAGGTACTATTTCAGGCTTACCCAGTGTAGTTCTCAGAACTTTTCACTGCTACTTCATCAGTGCTCTCAGCATTCTGCAGTGAAGGACACAGATTTAGTGGGTGTTTTCCATAACCTGTATGTTCGCATCAGTGTGAGATGAAAGGAAACTGACAGTAGGTCCTGCAGGGGTCTTTTGTGCCCTATCTGTAGTTCCTCTGACCTGATTTTAGTGGTGCTACAGGGCAGAATAGTTGGTTCCTTTGCCTGTAGAAACGAATTAAGTATGGAGGGTGCTAATGTTCTTGTCTGAATAGAAAAATCTCAATATTTGTGATTATTTTTTTATTACAAAGATTTTTTTCTTGCTTTTCTCTGCGCTATTATTTTGCTTAAACGTTTCTCTGCATTGTTGTGCACTGTGTTCTCATGGACTGAGAGCCTTGAAAGCTGAAAGGGGCAAGAATCACTTAGTGATGCCGCGTGCTCCTGCTGTTCTGTGTGGGTGGAGGACAGGGGAGGGACAACCTTGTAGCTGCTTAGTTTTGTGTCTAGGACAAGGAGAGGGTCTCCAGCCTAGGCCAGGGTTGCAGCTCAAAGCTGCCTTCACCTCCCACTCCTTTTGTTTATTGTGTGCTGGGAAAGAGACCTTAGAACCTAAGTTTTTTTTAGTTGCCAGAATTAATGAATCAAAGCAACAATCTTTAAGAAGATGGTAACAAAAACCTTGTCAACCAACCCTTCTGAAGAAGTGAAAGCAAGCCAAGCCTGTGCTTAGGCTCTAAAAAGGATATAAAGAGTATTAAGCTTATCTGCCTCCAAAATCAGGAGGGAAAATGCAGGACCTTCACAGAGATGGTTGTCATCTCTGGTGCCAGGTTGCAGTACCAAGCAAAGATTTCCTCCCTCCTTCTGTGTCTCCCGTGCATGTGGAAGCAGGCTGTTTCTCAAAAGCAGCAGAATTCTCTGGTTAGCTTATTTCAGTGCTTTTTCTGTTAGCCTATGAGAACGAAGATCAGCTGCTTTGGGACCCAAACGTACTCCCTGAGAGAGAGGTTGAGGAGTTCCTGTACCGCGCAGTGAAGCGGCGATGGGATGAGCTGTCTAGCAGCAGCCTGCCAGAAGGAGAGATGGTGAAGGACAATGAGCAGGTAAGCGTGGGGGCTTCCTGCAGGTCCTCTCATGGTGCTGGTGCAACAGCGCAATGCTTCCCACAGAAGTCCTGACTGAGAGACCCACTTCAAAGGGAGTGAGACCTAACCCCAGTGACCCTCTGCTCCTGCTCTGTGCTCAGTGAGAGCGTGCCTCTCAGCTGCAGCCTCAGGATGCTGTTCACCCTCCTGTTGGGAAGGCTGGGAAACGCTGCAGTGGATTGGACCACAGGCCTGTCTAGCTTAGTGCTTTTCTTCCAACACAGTAACAGATGTTTGTGGAAAGCACGTAACAGACTGGGCAGGTAGAGAATGGGTACTGTTTTGACTGTATTCTCGCAGTATCCCATACTATCTGAGCCAGAGCTTGCAGCAGGAACATCCTTTTGGATCTGTCCTCTACAGCATTGTCTAATTCTTCTTTGAAGCTACCAGAAGATCAAACATTTGGCTAAGAAACTTCAGAGCAGTTGTTTTCTCTAAGCTACCCAGGTTAGATTCTCACAGTGAGAGGCATACCTGTAATTTGCAGAGCTGTGGGTAGAACTGCATCTCTTCAGTCCCAGGATTTGTTATCCAGTGCCTCGAAAAGTGGAATAATCTGTGCTGGTGGTCGAGTTAGGGTTAGTGGCGAAGTGGCTCCCGGGAGAAGTAAGTTTTACGAGACGAACGTGAGTCACGAGCAGGTTGGTTTGTGGTGTGTTGCTCAGGTACGTGCTTTCAGTAGTTTTCTTCTGTTTCCCAGGCTTTGTATGAGCTGGTTAAATGCAACTTCAATGCAGAAGAGGCACTGCGAAGGTTACGGTTCAACGTGAAGGTGATCAGAGGTGAGAGCCCCCCATGTTTGGGTTCTACCCCAAATGTCAAGGCACACGTAACTCTCTCTGGATTCTGTACGTCTCTTCCAATTCCTTTTTCTGCTATAGATGAACTTTGTGCCTGGAGTGAGGAAGAATGTAGAAATTTCGAACATGGCTTCAGGGTCCATGGGAAAAACTTTCACCTTATCCAAGCAAACAAGGTAAGGACGCTCACCCCTGCATCCCACTAAGACAAAGGGCAGGAGGCACGCGCCTTCGCACCAGAGCCTCCTGGTTTTGAGCCTCGGCTAACGCAGGAAGTTCAGGACTGCTGAGTTCCAATCCCAGGCTTTGTGTTGACTCATGCTAGCAGGTGATGGGCTGTTCACTGCCCTGCTCTGCCTTATTTTCCAGGTGGGAGAAGTCACAAACAACACTGACCTGCATGAGTGATGTCAGTTAATTACTGATTAGCCCTTTCTGGAGTTTCAAAAGTTCTTTCCAAACTCTCAGCCCTTGCAGTACTTCTGTGAATGAGTGAGTTGAGCATGTGGATGTTTTGTAAAGTCCCCTGGGGTCCTCTGGAATGAAAGATGCTGTTGTAGGGAGAGCTGGGCCCAGGACATAAGCTGCTGTGCAGGGAGTTGGCAGAAGCAGAGAGTACAGTTCTACCGCTGATTAATTGTGGGCATGTTGACGCTGGCCAGTGAAAATGGATGTAGGTTTGCTCTCTTGATGTTAAGTGTGCTACTGGAAGCGCAGGCAAGTCCTGCTCAAATGTACCATGTGTGAACCCACGCTGGGGTCTGCAAGAACAATTGTGCACTGTGGGGAGTTCTTTCTCTGGCCGTTTACCACCATGGAAATCTCAGTATGTGCTTCTGTTCTGCAGCATAGATGTGTCCATAGCAATATAAATTACTGTAATGCACTTCATTTTCTGTGCTGATTAAATGGGAGAATAGTCCTTGCTCCACGAGATACATCTTGGTGCTCGGCTTTCCGACTGTGATGTTTCTCCTCAGGTCCGCACCCGGTCGGTGGGCGAGTGTGTGGAGTATTACTACATGTGGAAAAAATCAGAGCGCTATGACTACTTCACTCAGCAGACTCGTTTAGGAAGGAAGAAGTACGTCCTCCACCCTGGAGCCACGTGCGTGGAATATTCTCACACTAAAATTAGTAATATTAACCTCCCAGTGAAGATGCCTGCTGCAAAGCACCTCTGCTTAAAAGACTGCCCTTTCTGCTCTAGAATGTTTCTTGGGTGGGAGCGTGGGGGGATGCACTGGATATTCCCAGAACATAAACACTGTTAGTGTGGGGAGGGAAGATAAAGCACTTATTTGCTTGGATGTGGATTTTCTTGTGTCAGAAAACAGTGATTTGTTTCAGACAAAACTAAGGCTAGGGTCAGGTATTTAGGACTGATCGTGAGGAAGTAACTCAGTTCAGTGAGGTTTTGGGAAGGGAGCTTTTTAAGTTCAAAAATACACGATTTCTGGTGGTTTAGAATCTGAAGTAATTTCTTTCCCTGCTTGCCACCCTTGGAGGCAAGTTCTTCTTGTTGAAATACATGCTAATAACAACATACTTTTCAAAAAGGCTGAAACTGAAATGTTTTAAAAGGTCAAAATTAAATACTTAAGTTGAACCAATTAAAAACATGAGATGAAGTCTTAGATTTTTTTTTTTTTTTCTTCTGATGCCAGAGAGGAAAATACCTAAAATCTCAAATCCTCCAGGGTGGGAAAATATTTTCTCATCACTTGCTCTTTGCTGGCACACTGATGTTGCCACAACCCACTGCAGTCATTCCATGAAGCTGGCTGTTCCCTGGGGAGAGCGTTTGACCATTTATTGCGTTAGGGAAGGGCTGAGGCTCAGAGAGGTCTGGAGGGCAGAGCTCTGCTTTGGAAAGTTACCGAGCACGTTCTAGTTCATCATGGGCTGGTCTTGGCCACGCTGAGGCAACTGCCATCGCCTCAGTGCAGAGCCTGAACTGGGCTCTGCAGACCAAGAAGGGATGGACCTTCGTTCTACTGAGGTCTCTACAGTCCTGTTGCTTTATTTTTTAGTGGCTTTTAGTCTCAGTCACCGTTTTCCCTGCCTGCATCTCTCTGCTTAACGGGTGGTGGCAGTGCTATCTTGTCTTTCCCCACAGGGATTACACCGACAATGACTTGGACGGGGCTGAAGTAGAAAACACCAGTCGTTCCCGGAGCTCCCCACCAATTCCCTCTGCGACTAGCTGCCTGGATTCCCACTTTGGCCAAGATCAGCTCGCCATAGAGAGCACAGGTAACTCCCTTTTCTTCTGTCTGCCGTGGGGTAACTCGCCTCCCTCACGCAGCAGCAAGACCCTCCTTGGCCTTTCTCCTGTTGCTGTTTTCCAGCTGTTGCTCTTCTCCACGCACCTCGCCTGCGTGCTCGCCTTGACCTGTGTCACCCACCAGCCCTGGGCAGGTTTTGGTGTGAGCAAAGGAGACTCGTCTGCCTCCTGTATTTACCAGTAGTGACTTTAAAAGAGTTATTCCTGCTTCAGGCTTGGAGGGGTGGCCGAAGTCATTCGCAAACCTAAAAGATTTGCACTAACTTTGGGCACCCAAGTCAGGTGCTGCCAGTGCACTGACACCCAGGCACACGCAGCTCCTCCGGAGGCTGATTTAAGGCCGCAGAAGTCAGGCTGTGCCTGCAAACTGCTTTCAGAGAGACCTGGCTGTGAGAAGACTCACAGGGGGCCTGAAATAGGTTAATTCCCCCACCATCCTACGGCAGATGAGAGCCTTGTGTAGGCACCTCCCAGGGCCTGTCGGCATGAGGGGGCAGGACTTGGGATTTGTCTTATCTTGGAGTGTCTCTGTGAGATTTCCTTTAATTTCCATAGAAGCACTGATGGCCTCCCATCTGCTGTCTCCATCTTGCCTGTCTTCAGTACATGCTGGCAAGGATCTTGGTTGCTATAATAAAGAAACATTTGTGCCATCAAACAAATACTGTTGTGATTAGGTGAGACTGAACTGGATTATTGGTTTTTTTTGTACATTAAGGACTCACTCTAGCTTTCTTTCATGTTCTGTCCCCCACCCTTTCTCCCTCCCTGTATGTCTGTCTCCCACGCTTCCCTGCGGTGCGCGGTGCAGAGCCCCTGAGCGTGGAGAGCACAGCCTGCAGCCTGGGCAGCATGAGCGAGTCGGGGCAGGGCTACGAGTGCAGCACTCCTTCCGAGACAAATTGCTCCTTCGACCCCACGGAGGAGACGCCCTCAGGCGCCATCTCGGCTTCCTGCACCCAACACACTGTCGGCCCCTCGGAGTCGGGGCTCTTTGCTTTGCCGCCAGCAGGACCAGGACTTGCAGAGAAGCAGGAGACGTTGCAGAGCTCTGGTGAGACGATAACCATGGACTTCACCCTCCCTGCAGACATTAACGAGGGTTTGCCTTTACTTGCTGGCCCTGTGGATTTGGACAGAGACCCAGAGGCAGCGGTGGCCCCTGCGCAAGTGTCCTTATCGGTCACAGATTTTGGCCTCATTGGCATTGGAGATGTAAATAGTTTTCTGACTGCTCATCAGGCTTGTGCAGCACCTGTGGCTCAGTCAGAGCCGTTGTCACAGTGAGAGTCTTCAGTCACAAACTTGTCACAGACCCAGCAAGGACTTTGACCTGACTGAGTGAAATCCTGGAACTTCCACTGTTCCACAGGGACAGTTTGGAGCTGTTGGTCAGAATCCGTCTTTCCATCCTCCTTGATCCAAGGCTACAGTGAAACCAAACACCTTTCTGCTCCAGTGTGTTCTGACAGTCACGCAGAGCTGGTGGCTTTAGTAGGGGGGGAGTTCCATCGCCCCCTGTTCCGTTGACCATGTGTCACCCCAGGTAATGCCAGGCTGCTGGGAGAGCCCCTGCCCTCGGGACAGGGGAGATGTCCCGTGGCCCCCGTGGGACAGTCTGAGTGCAGAGGTGCTTTGGGAGCAGGGATGTGTCACCAGTGCTGCGGGGGCTGGGACGGAGGATGCGATCTGGAGGTCCAAGAGCTTAGGAAATCTGCAGGGAGCACATTCCACTCAAGTGGCAGGGCAGTTTGCCTGTGGAGATGGGCATGGTGATGCCAAAGGAAGTTGAGGAGTCGTGGCCCTTCGCCCACAGACAGTGTGTTGCAATAGGAGTCGTTCCCTTCCAGACAGCCATCCTGCACTCCTGAGCTGGGGCTTGTGGCAGGCAGGCACTCTGCTGTTTTCCAACCTCTCACAGCTGTGTGTGTCTTTCTGCCCCCTCCACCACCAGCTGCAGGTGGGAGGTGGCCGGGTCCAGCCTTTGGCAGAAGCATCCGGCCTTGGAAAGGGATTCTGCGTGGTGCAGCAGCACTGTGCACTGAAGTCCTCCTCACCTCCCCTTGCAGTGCTGCACTGTGTGGAAGTTGTGCTGGGAGTAAATGGAGTTTGCAGACCCACAAAGCAGCGTTGGCCCCAGAGCGGTGCAGTGCTGCCGCTTCTGTTACTGGCAGTGAACAGCTTGATCCTCGCTGAGGGCTGCAGTACCAGAGGGTAGAACACAGATGAAGACGTCCGTCACTTCCCAGCTTGTTCAAATAGTTGGTCAGCTGTGGGAGGAGGAGGCTGCTCAGCTCCCGGGGCACCAAGTCCAGGACACTGGTGCTGGCAGAGTCACAGGCAGGAGAGCACACCAGTCTCTGGGCATCCCTGCCCCGTTCTACATCACAGAAAAGCTCTCTGTTTTCTGAGAGGAAAGTGTCTTTACTGCCATTAGCAATGTTTGAGGAGGTGACCGTGGTGGCCCCGTGTGGCAGAGAGGTGGCCAGCTGCTGTGCAGAGGGCCACAGCGGCATGTTTGTGGGTGTGCAGAGTCTGGAGCTGCTCAGCCTCCCGGCTGCATTCCGAGTCTGGGGTTTGCCACTGGCTTAAATCCACAAGTTCTCATTCCCCTTTTTTCCACGCAGGGAATGCTGTCTGCTGACTTGCTGGGCAAGGCTCTGGTGCAGATGTTCCCTTCCTCCAGCCGTTTCTGCATTTGGGAAGGGGTTTGGGTTGAGGTTTTTTGCTTGTTTTGGTAGAGGCCTCCAGGCTGTGATCCTGCAGCTCGTTCTGCTGCCAGTGAATTTGGAAGATGACTAAAGCCATTAGCCTGGATCCTCCTTTTACCCAGCCCTGTGAAGTTGCGCTCAGCCCTGCAGTGGGAGCACGGACACAGCATCGGGCAGCTCCGTGGGATGACAGGAATCAGACCTCGTCTCTCTTCTGCCCGGCCCCAGCCCTGTAACGCCTCCTGCATTCGTAGGGGTTTGCTTTGGTCCCCGGCCAGCGCTGCTGCGTGCTGCGGAGCTCCAGACACATGCAGCTGCCTTGACCAGGCACCACTGTGTCAACGGGAGGTCTCCCCTCCAGCTGCTCCCAGTTGCTGGAAACAGAAAGCAAATACGAGTGCCCGCTCCATAGTGGAACTGCCCGGGCTGCGATTCCCCTTTTCTGGGGGAGAGGAAGCTCCTTGGCTGAAAGGAGAAGAGGAGGCAGGGTGAGAGCACGGGCAGCCCTCCCAGGGAGGGCCAGGCCTTGGCATCTCCTCTCCATCAGCCAAGAACATTCTTAGTTTTCCTAAAACCATTTTTTCTTTGGTTTGTTTCAAGCCCTAATGAAAGGAGAGGGGAGGCTGGGGGAGGCAGAAATGTCTCTTATTTATGTTCTTCAGTGTTGTTTACAGATTCGCATGGGGTCTTTCAACATGAGTGCGGCGCTTTTTCCACATAACTTTAAGGGAGAGGGGTGGAAAGGGCTGGGACAGGGAGGAGGAGTCGCTTGGGGAGGAGGTTTGGTTTTGGTTTTTTGTTGGGGTTTTCTTTTTCCTTCTTACAAAGCACATTCACTTTGAGCCGCTCCCAATGCTAAGTGATACTGCCTTGAAGACCCCTCGCCGTTATTTATTTAAATAAAAACCTAATTTGAAAGTGAGCCGGAAGCCTGTCGTGGTTTTGGAGACTGAGATGCCACAGTCCTCTGCATCGTGATGGCGGAAGCAAGAAGAGGGGTCCTTGCCTCTTCCGTCTGATCCTCCCGCCCTGGCTGAGTGTTCCATCACTCCATGGGCAGGATGCCTGGCACAGTGCTCGGGAAGCTGTCGGCAGCAGGTGTTCAAGATCCCTAAGAGAGAGTACATCCAGGGCAGGGTGTGTTGCTGAACGCTGATCTTGGGTCTGTCCTCAGAGAGTGCTGGAGCCCTGCAGGATTGCATCCTCCTGTCTTGGGTGCTACAATCGCCTCTTGGAACAGCCCCGAGGTCATGGTGCAGCTCTCAACCTGCTCTTGAGCGCAGCTGCTTCTGCTTGGCAAGGAGTATCATCATCTCAGGATGGGTGAAGAGCTTGTGCCTCCAGCCCGCCCTGCCAGAGCCAGGTCCGTGGTGCAGGTGGTCCTCACAGCCAGAGCACGTGTGAACCGCGCCGGCGCCTGCAGCCCCTGTCCAGGGCGTCTGGTTCTCAGGGTCCCTGCCTGACTTCCCGTACCTTGTAGCAGGGATGCCATCGCAACCCGGGAGGAGGCCTGGCTCCCTTGGCTGAATTCACCCTCCCAGTCCTGTCCATGGAGGGGAGGGAGGTGTTCGCTGCTCTTGCAGGTGCCCCCAGTCCTCTGAAACCCTGGCAGCCTTCGGAGAGCCCGTGGCAGCAGGAGGCAGGGGTCCATCCACGTCTTGCTGGCTTCAGCCAGAAATAACATCCTGGAAGTGAGAGAAATGTTCCTGCTGCAACTGCGTTGTAGTTTCTGCGAGAAGGTTCGTTCCTCACCACAAAGCCCCTCTGTTTTCTCAGAAATCCCTTCGCTCTGTTCCCCGGCTCTTGCCTGGCTCTCGCCTTCTGTCCCAACGCCTTTGAGTGGGACACGGGCCTTCCATCTCTCTTGCTCGCAGATGGAAAATGCCACCTGGAAAACCAGCAGGAAAGGGGCAGCCTACCCCTCTGTTTGGGAGCTCTCCCCCCGCTGCGTCCCTCCCAGTGGC